CCGGGGGCGACGCGGAACAAGGTAGATCCAACCCCGTGAGCGCCTGCAACTGATCGTAGCAGTTTCTCGCGAGAAAGCGCCCGCGCCGCCCCTGGGCGGGGGCGGCACAGAGCGAGGCAGAACAAATCGCCCATCGCTAGGGACGCATCTAAACATGGCAACTCCGCCAGGAACCCCCCCCTCCGCCTCCCCGGAATTCTCCGACGCCCCGAGCGTCCAGCCGCGGCGACGAAGTCTCGCTGGGACGAGCAGCGGCCCGCGCGCAAGCAGCGTCGTCGAGCCACTCTCCGTCCTCCTCCACCTCCCCCCGCTGGACCGCCATCTCGCCCGCGTGTCCTCCTCGACGATTTCCTCCTCCACCGCATCGTCGCCGAACCCCCTCAACGCCGCCGTCGACCTCGTCCACGAACTCCTCCACCTCGTCGTCGGCGACTCCTCCGCGTCCTCTTCTTCCTCCTCCCTGAGCCTGGCCCCACGCCTCGGGGGCAGCGGGGTGCCCGTGGAGAGCGCCAAATCGCCCCAGGCGGACCCCAAGCCGCCAGGGACGAGCGCAGCCAGCCTGGGCGGCGCAGCTGGCCCGGCAGCGGCGGCGGCCGCGGCCGCCGCGGAGGCCGCGCCGCGGCCGCCGACCAGGCCGAGGGCACAGAGCCCTCGGCCGCACCAGCGGCGACGTCGACGGCGGCGGCGTCCGCGACTAGGCGGGCCGCGGCGGCCAGGGCCGCCGAGAACGCAGCAGCGGCCGCAACCGGCGGCGCGGCCAGAGGCAGGGCCGCCCTGGCAGCGCAACCGAAGGCCGCGGCCGCGACGCCGCCAGCGGCGCCGGCGGTGCGAGCAGCACGCGCGGCGGCCGCCGCGGCCTCCAGAGAGCCAGCGGCGCTCGCCGCGGCCCTGGGAGGGCCAGCGGCCGCGCGCGCGGCATCCAGAGGGCCACCAGCAGCAGCCCCGCCGTCGGGTCGGCAAACAGCGCCACAGGCGCGGGCCGCAGCGGCCTGGCGCTGCCGTCGCCGTCGCGCCGAGCGGATCTCCACGGCGCAAAACGGGGAGGCAGGCTGGAAGAGAGGCAACCCCTTCCCAGCCTGCCCCAGGCGGCGCGGCCAAGGGCCGCGGCGAAGCCGGCTCGGCTCGACTTAAGCCAGAGCTGCTCGAGCCAGGCTACGGAAACACACACACACACACACACACACACTTTTGCGTTGGCGGGTGGGCAGAGGGTGACTGCTCCTGCGATTGGGCATCTGGGGGGCGCACTGGATGCAAATTCAGGCCGCGAAGCACATGGGAGGAGGAGGAGGAGGAGGAGGAGGAGGAGGAGGAGGAGGAGGAGGAGGAGACCCCGGCGCGACGGAAAGAGGGAAAGCAACGCCCGCTCAGGCAAGTCACCAGCTGCGGCGGGAGGAGCGCCGAGGGGGGGGAACCAGCCGCGGCGCGGGGGCAGCAGCTCGGGGGGAGACGGCAGCCCAACGGCGGCCGTGCGAAGCCAGATAGGGGAGCAGCACATGCGATGCGGCAACCACACCAATGGGGGAGCTGGCAGAGCAGGCGGGCCCAGGGGTGGGCCAAGCGCCGAAACCAGGAGGCCCCGCGTCAGGCTGCGGTGAGAGCGCTGCGCTAGGGCAGCAAGCGCAGACCGGCGCGGGACAAAGGACGAAGAGGCGGAGCCACGCCATCGGGGGGAACGACATGGAGCTGGAGCGCCGAGACCTGGGGGCCTACGAGGCGCGGCGGGAGGCGCGAAGGGCGCAGCGCAGGCTGCAAGGAGAGCCCTGCACTAGGGCGGCAAACGCGAGACGGCGTGAAGGCAATGGACAAAGGACGAAGAGGCGAAGCCACGCCATCGGGGGGAGCGGCGTGGTGCTGGGAGCACCAGCGGTGAGTGGGCGGGCGCCGAGACCACAGGGCCTACGAGGCGCGGGGGGGCCTGGCGCTGCCGTCGCCGCCGCGCCGATCGGATCTCCACGGCGCAAAACGGAGAGGCAGGCCGGGAGAGGGTCCCCCCCTTCCCAGCCTGCCCCGGCGGCTCGGCCGAGGGCCGCGGCGAAGCCGGCTCGGCTCGACTTGAGCCACGGCGGCTTGAGCCAGGCTTCGGACACATGCACACACCGACACACACACACACACACACACACACAAACACACACACACACACATACACTTGTATGTCGGCGGCGCAGAGGGACCTCAGGCGCGGTCGGCACACACACACACACACACACAAGTTTGTGGCGTTGCGGCAACGCACGCGGCGGCGCTGCGCAGGCAGTCGAGCAGGAGAACGTGCGCGATCAGGCCAGATCACGCGGCGTGGGGACCAGGGGTCCACCCCTAGCAGGTCAGCTGGGTCACTCGCGCTGGGACGCGAGGAAAATTGGGAGAGGGGGAGAGGGGGCGAGTGGCGGCAGGTGGAGGTGGTGCTCAGTGCGTGGGCCAAGTAGAGCGCAGCGCGAAGTGCAACGGCACACCGATCGTGCGGAAAAGCGATCAAGGCAGAGCCCGACCAAGGCAGACGGTGGGACGAGACAAGTGCCAGGGGAGCTACAGGGCACTGGAGGGACAGTCAGGACACACACACACACACACACACACACACACACACACACGCACGCCATTCCCAATCCCTTACTCTTGCGCCCTCCGCTTCCTCCTCCTCGCGCGAGTCGCCCTCTACTGCCCCACCTTCTCGCGCGCCGCTGGTCTGCGCTTGGTGTGGGTTCCAAGGGTGAGCTGCTGCTGCGCAGGCGTTCTCGCTCCCCTTCGTCGCGGAGAAAGCCAACTATACGCCGCCACTCAGGACGATCGAAATGGGTAGAGAGACCGACGGCAGTTCCTGTTCATTCTGAACAGGACTCGCTGTCGGTGTCGCCGCGGCCATTGTCCATCTGAGACACATGTTTGCCTGCCCAAAAGCATCCAGGGCGTCGAAAGCCGCCGATCCTGACCAGGGCAGCCCTGGGCCCAGGATCGGTGCACAAGTTCTCCCAGCCTGGCAGGGAGGCATACACACCGATCCTTTGCCCACGACTTTCCTGGCCAGGATCGGTGTAAGTGTAGAGCCGGCGCATCCCGAGCGTTCGGATGGGATCACATAAATCCCTCGCATACCAATGGTTCGACGATCGAATCCATGCGTTTGTCAGTTTGGGGCCCCTTGCGACCCAGGCAGGCCTCCGGAGAGACCCCAAACAGCAACTGAGTTGTGAGTCGATATTGTGAGTCGGCATCGAAATGCGCGTGCACCGCACGACACGCGGGCACGGCACGGCACGGGCACGGCACGGCACGCGCACGGCACGCGCACGGCACGGCACGGCACGGCACGGCACGAGCACACGCACGGGCTCGCGCACGGGCACGCGCACGGGCACGGGCACGCGCACGGGCACGGCACGGCACGGCACGGCACGCGCACGGTACGGCACGCGCACGGTACTCTTTCTTGTCTTCTGGCAGCTGAACACGCGCACGGGCACCGCAGGCTCGCGCGGGCACGGCACGCGGGCACGGCACGGCATGGCACGCCACGGCACGCGGGCGGCCCATTTTTCCTTCGCTGAAACCATGCACGGCACGGCCCGCGGGCAGCTCAGCTCGTTGTCGCAGATCTAGAACGCAGAAGCTGGCCCCTCCTCCTCCCTCCTCCTCCTCCTCCTCCTCCTCCTCCTCCTCCTCCTCCTCCTCCTCCCCCTCCTCCTCCTCCTCCTCCTCCTCCTCCTCCTCCTCCTCCTCCTCCTCCTCCTCCTCCTCCTCCTCCCTCCTCCTCCTCCTCCTCCTCCTCCTCCTCCTCCTCCTCCTCCTCCTCCTCTCCTCCTCTCCTCCTCCTCCTCCTCCTCCTCCTCCTCCTCCTCCTCCTCTCCTCCTCCTCCTCCTCCTCCTCCTCCGCCGCCTCCTCCTCCTCCTCCTCCTCCTCCTCCTCCTCCTCCTCCGCCTCCTCCTCCTCCGCCGCCTCCTCCTCCTCCTCCGCCTCCTCCTCCTTCCCTCGCCCCCACGCGGGCCGCAGGGATGGCCCGAAGAGGGCCTCCAAGGCTACCCTCAATGCCCACATCGTTTCACTAGATGTGCCTCGTCCTCCCGTTTTCCACCACCTCTCATGGGCAACGGTTCTGAATGAGCTGGTGGGGATGCGCAAAGCGAGAAGGATACGAATAGGATCCCTGTCGCATGCGCTGCTCAGGGACAACCAATCGCGACAGCGGGCTGCTCCTGGATCTCTGCCTTCGTGGGCCCGATTCAGGCCCCAGAGGCCCACGCCATGACGTCACAGAAGTTCCAGGCGGACCCAGACGCGGCCACGAGGGCGCCCAAGGAGGCTAGGCAAACAAGGACCAGAAGACGTCGATCCGCGAACGTCGATCAGACCTCCCCCTCCGCCACGTCGCCCGCCTCGCCCCCGAGAGCCAACCACCATCCACCTCGTTAGAGGGGGGCCGAAAGGGAGGACTGGCTCGGAGGGGCAGCACTGCCCTGTCGAGCAGACGTCGCCCACGGATCGGCGACGTGCCCCCCGGGCGGGAAAGCCCGGCGTCCCGGAGCAGGCCGGGGGCGCCCAGGCCCCGATCGGCGGGGAACGGGCGATCGGAGGTCGACACTTCCCCCCCGGAGCCAGTCCCCCCCCTGTCGTTGACCCTGACGATGCGTCCTCCGCCCCCCCCCTCCTCTCGAGCATACAGGGCAGTGTGTAATACATAGGATTTAAAAAAACACACATTGGATTTTCCATACATGCTTGATTTATGAATGAATGAATGCATAAACTCATCCTTGCATTTATTAATCAAACCTTTATTTTCAATACGTGGTCCGCACGCGGAGCATGTATTAAAAACGGCACTGTAAGGGGGGCCTGGCGTCAGAGAGCAGAGCCCTTTCGAGAACCACCCGAGAGAACTCGCATGAGAAGTGGCACGACCCTGGAAAATCCGATCAGTGCCATGTCGAAGTGCTAGCTCAAGGCTCCCCTTTGTCGCTCTGCGCTAGGAGCGAGGAGCCGAGAATACCCAGGTTCATCAAGCGTTCCACGTATCCATGACTGCGATGTAATCCGCCACCGTGCCGCGAGGCACGAATTGGAGTCTTCAGGTTCATCCGAGCTTCGATTTCTCTGGCCAGGATTTCCAGAATTCCTGAGCGCTCATGGACACTTCCTGGCGCTCTTGGGCATCACCGCATGATTTTTCTGGAGGCCTTGAGGGCGCGGTTGGGTGTCCACGCTTCCCAAGTGTCCTAAGATGGGCCGTATTCGTCGTACTGGGGTACGTTTGGGCGCCTCGTTGTCCATATGGGAGGCCTTTGGGGAATCTCTGAATTTCGCGGATTCTGTTTACGGTCGAACGAGCATCCACAACGGCCAAAAGGTCCCAAAGACCCGCCCCGAGAGCCAAAGAGAGCCCCAAGAGGCCCCCCCAGAGGGGCCCCCCGGAATTGGGAACTCGAACTGCCAATCGGAGCCCTCCACCCGAAGATGAACCCCGATCTCGCCTCCAGGCCCCAAAGATGCCCCCAAGAGACCCGTAAGGGGCCCCCAAGAGGCCCCAGGTGGCCCTCAGGAGGCTTCCAAGAGGCCCGAGCGAATCGAAAGAGGCCCCAAGAGGCCCTCCAAGATCCCAAGAGGCCTCCCAGAGGCCCCTGGTCCACGACCCAAGCACGATGGAGGGTTGGGCCGAAGACCACTAGATCCGCCGCCCCCCTGGGGCTTGCCACAAGCGGGCACGGCGTACCAAACCTCTGAGGGGTCTTGGTTCTGTTTGAAGGTTCCCAGTGGGGTCTCGGCCCAGCCCTCCGGCCACCCGAAATACCCGGTCGGCAAGGAATGGTCCGTTCCAGATGACAAGCCAGAAAGCCTCCAGTAGTAGCCAGAAAGACGGCCAGAAGTAGGCTCCAAAACGGCCAAGATGATCCTAAGAGAGTCCATGACGGCCTCAGATGACCTCAAGATGATCCAAGACGGCCCAAGAGGCCCCCAAGAGGCTCTCAAAAGGTCTCCAAGACGGCCCAAGAGGCCTCCAAGAGTACCTCCAGCAAGGCCCGAAGACGCCAAAATCAGAAATTCTGCTTTCGCGCTTTAGAGAATTCTGGCGTTTGCTCATGTTCGGCTTTCTGACCGCCCAAGACGGCCCCAGAGGCCAATAAGATGGCCCCAAGAGCGCCCTAAAGGCCTCTGAGATGGCTCCCTGGCGGCCAAGAGGCCCCCAAGACGGCCCCAAGAGGGCCCCAAGACGGCCCAGGACAGCTCCAAGACGCCCAAGATGGCCTCCAGGACGACCCTGAAGCGCCCACAGAAGGCTCCAAATCGGCCCAGAGAGGCCTCCAAGACGGCTTCCGATGGCGTCGTATGGGCTAGGAACGTCCTCAGACTGCCAAAGAGCCTCCCAGGGAGCCCTCAAAGGCCCCTAAGAAGCCCAAGGAAGTCCCCCAAGAGGCCTCCAAGAGGCCCCCAGGAAGATCCCAGGAGGCCACAAGAGTGCCACAAGAGGCTCCCAAGAGGACTCCTCCTCCTTCTCCTCCTCCTCTTCCATTTTCCTCCCTCTCCTCCTTTTCGTCGTTCTCCCCCACGTGTTCCCCGAAGAGTTTCCACAACGGCTGGGGAACACATAGTCCGATGGCTTGGCCGAGCTCTGGCACAACGTTCGACCACTCAGGCGCCTCCAAGCGGCGGGGGCCGGAGGTGGTTCGCAGTAGGCGTCGTCGATGTGCCGCCCCCTTTTGCTTGCGCTGGAGTGTGCTTGGCGCGCCAGAGGATCGAGTACATCTGGCCCTCCCAAAAGGTCCCTGGCGTGGTCTCGGCGGATCCCGTCGGCCCCGCGGAAAGCGTGGTGCCCGTCGGCTCGACCACCAAAAATGACCCCAAGAGGGCCTCCAAGACGGCAAAGAGGGCCTCGGACGGCCTCGAGGGGCCCCCCAAGACTGACTCCGAAGGCGTCGGACGGCCCAAGAGCGCCCTAAGACGGCCACGGTGGGCCCCGAGAGGCCCCCAAGAGACTCCCAGGAGTCCCCAAGAGGGCCCCGAGGGGCCCTCATGAAGTCTCCTCCTCCCTCCTCTGGCTCAAGATGCTCTCCAAGACGGTCCCAAGAGGTGCCCCAGATGGCCCCAAGACGTCACCAGGTGACCTCAAGACGGCCCAGGAGGCCCTCAAGACACCCCAAGAAGGCTACACCAAGTCCCCCAGAAGGGACTCGGGGGGCAAAACGCATGTTCCTGATGGCTTTTTTTGGTGTGGGATTCTCTCCTTTTCGGCGTTCAGAGTGTCCAGAACGGTCCAGGAGACCCTCAAGATCACCCCAAGACGGTCGAAAGGGCCCCCAAAAGAGCCAGAAGGCAGCCCAGAAGGGCCCCATGATGGCCCAAAAGGCCTCCCCAGACGGCCCCAAGACGGCCGTGCAGGGCCTCACGAGAACTGCAAGACGCCCCAGGGAGGCCCCAAAGATAGCCTCCCAGGGAGCCAGCTGGGCCCCAGAGGGCCCCTTCCCGGTGCTCTCCCGGTGACTTCCCCAACAGCTGGGCGAACACGCAGTCCACAGGCGTGGCAGCACTTCCCTCGACGCCTCACGACGCAGGCGTTTCTCCTCGAGACGGGATGCGGCGGTGGCCCGCCGAAGGCGTGCTCGATAGTAGTAGGCCTGCGCCATCCTGTGGAAAGCCTCCCGGGAGAGCCGTGGCCGGCCGTCCAGCCACACCTGATTCTCCTCCCAGTCGAGGTCCGAGGCCATGCGGCGGTCGCCGATGTAGTTGTCGTCGCCCGGGTACGCGGAGTAGGGCCAGGGCTTGGCTCCGTTGACGTCGAAGCCCACCACGCCCCTGGGGGCGGGGACGATGCGCTCGGCGGTCGAGGTGGACAGGTCCATGTTGTCGGTCTCCTCCCGGGTGATCAGCGAGCGCATCTGCATGCAGGAGTACTGGAGCGGCTGCCCCTCCATGGCGACTCTCCCGCACGGGAGGGGCGCCCAGGGCTTCGGGCCACCCGCCCGGTCCCGCACGGAGATGGCGTACTTGTCCGGGTCGTTGACGTTGATCTGGAAGGACTCCAGACCTATGGGATCCCAGTTTGACGGCTTGGCGTCTGCCACGCCCGTGCAGCTGACTTTGGCCCACCAGCCCTTGCTCTCTTGGACTTTGCGTGTGATCCATGCCTCAATCTTGGCCTCGATCGTGGTCTCTGTGTCAGCAACTGCCGCGTTGATCGCCTCCTTGATTGACACGGCAATGGCAGAATTTCCTTCGATCCATTCCTTCACCACTTCGTGCACCTCAGGCCAAGGGATATTGGTGCCTGCCGCTTCAGCCAAAGGGATGAAGCATGTCGCAACGTCCAAGGCTATCGTAAAGAGCCACTTACGCCCCTCGTTGGCGATGCAGGCCGCTTTGCGCCACCCTTCCAGCTCCGGGTTAAGATTCGATAGCACCTTCGCGGTTTGCCATGTATTTGACGCGATAGCGACTCCAGCCCAGGCCACTGCTGCAACAAAGGCACCTGCACCACCAGTCAGCGCGCCGATGGCAATAATAGATCCCACTTTAATCAGCGATGTGGCGATTGGGTGATCGTTCATCCAGCACTGAATGCGGCGGACGGGAGCGACGGCGGCGCGGCCCAACAAGGTCCCCCAGCGTCTCCAGCCCACGGCGGGATCTACAACTGCGTTGGTGGCACTGCGTCCCCAAACAGAGTACTGCGCGCCAGTCCTGCCGTGCATGGGGAGCCATGACAGGACAGCATCGGTAGGTGCGCCCCCTACCTGAGCCCCCCATTTGCACGGCAGGCACTGGCCTCCACTGATTATCTCCTGCCAGTTGGTGAGCTCCATGAAGCAGCCTGCGCTCTTTCCCTTCGCGTTCTTCCACAGAGGGAGCGAATATTTACGCTTGCCATGGTTACTGGATAACTTGCCACACTTGAGAAAGTCCATACCAGCAACTCCAAACTGCTTCGTCTTGTGGCCGGGACAAGCGATCCAACCTTCGACCTTATGGCATGGCTTCCATTCCTTATGGTTGCTAAACTTTGTGAGCATGTCTGACTGACAGCGTTCGTCACAGTATGCACAGCCCTTGCCATCTTCTTGGCAAGCGTCACCAGGTTCCATGGTGGTTGAGTTGTGATGCGCCAGGCTTCGCGCATGGTCGTGGGTTGCGTTGTGATGCTCCAAATTTCTCGCATGGTCATGGTGCATGACTAGGCGGCCAGCACTCTCCATTTCGAAGAACGTGCTGCCCTCGTTACGGGCACCTTGGGCGGATAACGCCAGCCCAAGGATCCCAATGGTCTTGGCGTGCGAAGAGACAGCTGCAACCTGCTCGCCCGCGAGGAGGCTCACGAGCAAGAGGGCCATGAGCTGCCTTCGCTGCAGGTATGCCATGGCCGTCACAATTTCTTGTGAAGATCGTGAAACTGATGCTTGACACTGCGTCAGCTCAGAGATGAATGGTGATGAGAATGACAAGTGACAGTCACGATGATGCTGATGGGAAGAGACGAGTGCGGAGAGCTTTGTCTGAGAAAGCTGCCGTTACGTTTCAGAATTCTCCCGTTCTTACTGCCTGACGACAAGAATCTGTTCGGGAAAACTCCCCTTCTGTTTGAGAAGACCCCTACCCCTTTCGTTTTGAAAAGACTCGGGTCAGACGTTCTTCGGTGCCGCAGAGGCTGGGTCAGACGACCACAGGGGTCGCCAGGGGGCCAGGCCAGACGCTTACGGCCGTCAGGGGTCGGGTCCCACGTCCCTCCCAGACACAAGGCAGAAGGTCCTGGGGCTGCTGGGGGCTGGGCCAGACGCTCCCAAAAGCCGGATCGCTCTTGGGGTTGTCGGGAGCTGGGTCGGACGCCTCCGGGACGCCAGGGACCAGGTCAGGCGCTGCTGCACGGGGGCCAGATCAAACTCTCCCAGGGTCACTCGGGGCTAGGCCATACGCCCTGGGGAAAGCAAGGCGGCTATTGCAAAGAGGGTACTAACGGCCGCCTGGTGCCGTGACAGGCGTCTGTAAAGGAGGGCGAGCAAAATGGACAAAGCGCAGCCAGGGGCCGAGTGAGACGTCCTTGGTGCTAGGTCAAGAGTTCCCGAAGTCAACTCTAACAAGCTCCGCCAGGAGCTTAATACGATAAGACGCCCCTGCAGGCACCGAATCAGACAGGAGAGAAATGAGTACATGGCCATCTTAGGGGGCCATCGATCACAGACAAGGGTGGCGTATACTACTCTGCACCCGTCAGAGAACGAAAAAATACCTTTGGGGGCCCTTCTGCGCGCTCTTGGGCGCTGTTGGGGCCGTCGTGTGCCCTATTTGGGCCCCTCTTGGGCCCCTCTTGGGCCCGGAGATCCGGGCGTTGCTCTCCTGCGTCGCACCTCGCGGCTCTCTGTCGTTAGCCGACTCTCCGCTCATTCCCCTGTGTCTCTTACGCAGGCCACTCGTCTCGAAGAACGCCTGGACAGGGCGCCAAGATCTACCGCGGAACATGGAAGCCAGCAGGGTCATTCGCGGGCGCGGGCCGGTGTACGTACTGAGATCTCGCTGTTTCACGCTTTGACAACGCATCTCAAGAAACGCTCAGAGAGGACGTGAAGATCTGCCAGGGGGCAAGCGGGCACTCGGGCTAATTCGCGGGGCACTGGCGACTGCGCTGAGACCTCGCCTGTTCACCGTCTTGTCGGCGCCGCGCCGACACCACACGTGGGGTTCGGGGAAGCTGGGCGCTCGCTGCAGCCCAGGGCTGGACCTAAACGTTGTTTTTTGCTTTGCCTTCGTTTTGTTGTTCGTTCTGCTCTACCTGTTTTCCTGCATCGCCCTTCCAAAATGAAAAACAAAGCACAGCCGAAGTCCAACAGAACAGCGTCTCGGTTCAGCCCTGCTGCAGCCACGCCACCGGAAGAAAGACAAGTCTGGGCTCGCAGGGGGCTCTGAGCTTCGGGCCGCCCCTCGGACCCAGGCCGGGGAGCCCGCTCGCGGCCCCAAGGCCCACCAGTGCCGGGCACGCTCCTGCGCCCCTCCTTCGGGTCGGGCGAAAGGGGGGGATAGCAAAGGAGGGGTTTGAGAATCAGCTCACGTAGCTGATTTCCCCGGCGCCTCCCGGCGCCGGAGGCGGCTATGTATCGAGGAATGGGCTCCTTGGTGAGGCCAAAACCAGCTGCATGCATCAAATTTCGTAACCCCCCCTTTCCCAATCCCCCCCTTTCGCCCGACCCGACTCTTCCTCGGAGTTCCCCCCCGGGGTGGCACGGACGAGGGGGCGCGCGCTGCCGCGGATGACGGCGAGAGCACGAGGCCAAAGGCCGCTCGCTTCCACGACCCAGCGCACCGACTCCGCACGGAAGTGGGAGGAGAGGCCCGGAGCGCGCGCGGAGAGCAGGGGGGCGCCGAGCGTGCGCGGAGCCCGAGGCTGGCCAGGCCCAGCCTGGCCGCACAGGAAGGTCCGGGCCCGCGGCCCGCCCGCCTGCCTGGTCGGGTGCGCGGAGGCGGGGAGGACCACGAGCGAGGGGGAAGGGGCCGCCACCGTGGCTCGAGGCATGCGCGCGGACGAGGGGGGGGGGGGGGACGGGGCAGGCAGTGTTACCGAGGGACGGCGGAGGTGTGCTGCGGCCCTGGCCCCGATGTCCGCAGGCCCCCAGTCATCACCCCCCTCCTGGTTGAGGCGCAGCGATCGGGGGGCACTGGCTCGGGGGGGGGGGAAGCATCGAGCTCGAATCGACGACGGAGCGGCGAAAGGCCCCCGATAGCGAATCCGCACGTTCCTGGGCAGGGGCGGGCTATTAGGACCCTATTAGCGATGCATCCGCGGTTGGGGATCGATGCGTTCCCCCTCTGAGCCTCTGTCCGGCCCGAACGTTGCCGCTGGCTGGCTGGACCCCTGGGCGCTGCCGAGCCTGGCCAAGAGAGCAGGCAAACCCATCCTGGGCCCAGGGCTGGGCTGGCCAGGGTGTCGGCGGCGGTATGCAGCCAGCCGGCGCCCTCCCGCAGGGAAGGGCAGCGAGCACACTTCTGCGTTGCACGGCCCAGAGCGTTCCCAGCTATTCGCACCACTCTGGAGCCCATGGGGCCCTCTGGGCATCGTAGGGGTGCTCTGGAGACGACGGGCGCGCCGACCCCAAAGGGACCTGATGGTGATGATGACGGTGATGACGACGATGGCGATGACGATGAGCATTGTGGTGATGACTGGTCGTGGTGGTGGGGCGATTGCGAGGCTGTCTCTGAACAGGGAAGTGGTCATGGCCTGGGGTGTTCCCAGCTCTTCGCGCCACTCTTGACCCCGTGGGGCCCTCTGGGCCTCGTGCGGCAGGTTCGTGTCGCGAAGACTTCTGTGCTGGTTTTTGACACCGCGCGGATCGTTCGACCTGGAACACCCGCGGCCCTCCTGTGGCGCAGATCGCTCAGCAGCGGCCGATTCCTGGCGACAGGTGGCGTTCCACCTCGAACGCCCGCGCTGGGGTCGCCGCCACGTCCACGCGACACGAACCTGCCGTAGGGGGCGCTCTGGAGGCCAGGGGAAGGCCGCCCCTTGGGAGTCCTGGGGAGGAGGAGAGGTAGGAGGAGGAGGAGGAGGAGGAGGAGGAGGAGGAGGAGGAGGAGGAGGAGGAGGAGGGGAGGAGGAAGGAGGAGGGGGGGGAGGGGAGGAGGAAGGAGGAGGAGGAGGAGGAGGAGGAGGAGGAGGAGGAGGAGGAGGAGGAAGAGGAAGAGGAGGAGGAGGAGGAGGAGGAGGAGGACGAGGAGGAGGAGGAGGAGGACGAGGGGGAGGAGGACACATTGGGCCAGGGACACCTCTGGCAACAGCCGAGCCGCAGGCGAAGATCAACAGCGCGCCAGAGCACAGGAAGGGGCACCGAAGGGGGCGCGGCCTCCCGAGGAAGCCTGCAGCAGGGTCGTGCCGCGAAGGCCTCGGGCTGGCAGTGCTGGCTGGCCCCGAGCGCCCTCGAGAGGTAAGTGCGGGCTGGCCTCGGCAGGCCCCCAGGAGTCTGGGGTGGCCTCGGCACCCCCACCCTTCGGTCGGGCGTCCCCCTACAGGCGGATTTTGAAAGATACCAGAAAGTAAACAAAAAAATATAGAAAAATCGTCCCCTGACTGTTTTGTTTGTACTGTTGTTGAATATTCGCCCGACTTACCCCCCCCCCCCAGGGGCGCGGACGGGGTTGAGGTGCTGAGATCGCCCCAGACTGCAGCAGGCTCGTCGCGCGACGGCATCGGCCTCCCAGACATGCGATGTCCCGATTCTCGTCCAGACGCGGCCCCCCGGAATCCCGACCCCTTCGGGGCCGCGTCTTCATCCTGAGCCCTTTTTGACGGCCCCGGGGCCCAGCCAGGGCCCCCAGAGGCCGGAAATGGCGAAAGCCACCCGTCCTGACTGTTTCACGACGCGGGCACGGCTGAGGTCGGGTCTCGGGGGGGATGTCCTGAGCGGCTCGAGGCGGCGCGCCCGGGGGCGAAGCGGGGCCAGGGAGCGCAGCCATGGCACTCAGCAGCGGTAGCTCTGTGAGAGAACGGCATCAGCAGGTGCTCAGGGGGACTGTCTGGCGCACCCCAGATCGGACCACTCCCGCCTCGTGCCCAGATGCCTCGGTGCGGGCTCACCCTGCGTCCCAACGCCACGGGTAGCGGCGGAGGGTTGCGGCGGATGCTGACAGCCAGAACGTGGAGCGGTGACGAATGACAAAGACGACGACGATGCTGATGATGGCGGCGGTGACGAGCACGGGAGCACGCGCGCGCGGAGGTGGTGCGGGACGGAGAAGAGGCAAGAGGAGGACGAGGAAAGATGACGAGGAGGAGGAGGAGGAGGAGGACCAGTGCAAACTGAAGAGTCATCAACGATGTTGGGATAAACCCTCCCTCCAAGCTCCCTCTTCATAGGCCTCTACAAAGGCTCATTTCCACTGATGGAACTGCCTCGTTGGAAGACAACCGTTTGAAGACCCTGAAACATGCCGAAACATTATTATTGGCAGTCCAACGCCACGGATCAATATGACTGTTGCGTGTTGACGACCCTGAATCATGCCTGAACGCCACTCCTGGGACTTCAACACATCGAACCAACGTAACTGCTGCAACCTCATAATCCTGAACCCCTCCAAAACACCATCCCTGGTACGCTGATCATGGGAATCCGTGAAACTCTTGCAAATTTGAGAACGAATGTGCGCGGCGCTGAGGGGAGAGCCACATTTTGAACAGGAACCGCCCTCAATCCGTGAAGCATTTGCAAAGTGTGGAAACTCAGGCGAGAGCCAAATTTTGAAAAGGAACCGCCCTGATTCCGTGGAACACTCGCATTATTTAAAACGCATGCGCGCGGTACTAAGGCGAGAGCCACACTTTGAAAACGACTCACCCTCAATCCGTGAAACTCTTGCAAATTGTTAAAATGAATGTGCGCGGCGCTAAGGCGAGAGCCACATTTTGAAAACGGCCCGCCCTCCATCTGTGAAACTGCTGCCAATGTTTAAACGTCAGGGTCCTCAGAAATGGTGAGGAGGGTTCAATCGAAACGCCCGGCCCACCCTAAAAACTGGCCTGGGGTGCGACAAGGAGAAATTACTCATAAGGAATAGGAATGGGGAAAGCCAGGAAAGAGGAGGAGGAGGGAAAAAAGGAGGAGGAGGAGGAGGAGGAGGAGGGAGGGAGGGAAGCCGCGAGCGCCCGATCCCGCCCCGATTCGCCCAGCAGGGAGCCGCAGCGGCGGCCAGCGCAGCCTTCGCAGGCCACTCGGCGCACCCCCCGGAACCCTCTCAGCGGGGCGTGCAGTGGAGACCCGTGCCAAGGAACACCCCGCCTGCCTCCAGGGTGCCCTGGGCTTCTTACGCTTCGATGATTTTGCGATGAAAGGCGTGACGCTCCCGCGCAAAAACTCCCATCGACGTCCTGGGGTCTCAGGGTCTGTAGCTTCTGGAGAGCCGCCGGGAACCGACGAAAGCGCCCGAAAACCTCGACCTCGGCCCCCTTTCGTCGCCCAGCGCGCCTCCCCCAAGAGGAAAGAGGAGGAGGAGGAGGAAGAGGAGGAGGAGGAAGCGGAACGAGGAGGAGGAGGGGGGAAGGAGGAAAAGGAGGAACGAGGAGGAAAGAGGAGGGAGGAGGAAAGAGCGGGAAAGAGGAGAAAAGAGGAGGTGGAGGAGGAACGAGGAGGAGGAGGAGGAGAGGAGGAGGAGGAACGAGGAGGAGGAACAACGAGGAGGAGGAAAGAGGAGGAAAGAGGAGGAATAGGGTGAAAGAGCAGGAAGGAGGAGGATAATGAGGAGGAGAGAGGATATAGGAGGGAGAAGGGAGGACTGAGGAGGGGGCGAATGGGGGGGAGGGAAGAAGCGAGGGAGTGAGTAAGGGTGAAAAAGGAGGAGGAGGAGGAGGAGGCAGGAAGAGAAAGGAGGGGGAGGGAGAATGAGAAGGACGAGGAGAAGGAGGGGAGGGAGAGAGAAGGAAAGAGGAGGAAAGAGGAGGAAAGAGGAGGAAAGAGGAGGAAAGAGGAGGAAAGAGGAGGAGAAGAGAGAGAGAGAGAAAGAGAGAGAGAGAGAAAAAAAAAAAAAAAAAAAAAAAAAAAAAAAAAAAAAAAAAAAGAGAGAGGAAGAAAGAGGATGCAGAGGAGGA